TTGAATTAGCACAGTGCACATTAATCATCATATCAGCATATAGCATCCATGTAAATATGCTGGAATTAGCACAAAAGCTAAACGTCCTATAAGGTAGTTACTAAAGAATATCATCAAACACATTTACAATTACAGGACAGCTCACAAAAGAACCCACAGACGATTTTACAAACAATATGGAGACAATTTCCATGTAAGAAATAACAGACATACATTCAATTAGCTAATCTGAAAAACAGGAAGAGCAAGAAACCCCTGGAAAAGGACCGATTTTATAAATGACTACGTTAACCAATGTGTGCGTTTTCTGATAAAGGTTAAGTCATTCTCACAATCCCTGATATGTGATGGTAATTCGTTTCAGGAATGTGTGTGTATTTTGCATTTGGCCGGCATTTTATTATTCCCCTCTATGATAGAAAAATTAATTAAAAAATGCCCTTTGCTCAGCTGCAAATGTGTCTTTCCTTCTGGGTCTGTTACAATGCCTCACCCATTTGTTCCGCCCACAACAGTATCTGATTGGCCAGACGTCACATGAGTAATATCCATTTAAACAAAGTCTTGTTGGAGTTTGTTATATTCCAAATTCAAAATTTTGACAGAAAGATTTTCATTTTTAGTTTAGATACGCCGGTTTCAAATATTAGGGCCCGACCGATATGAGATTTTTGGGGCCGATACTGATATTGATATTTGAGAGTGTAAAAAAATAGATATATCGGCTGATATCTTTCTTAGATCTATGTTCGATCTGCAGAGATAGATACACACTTATTTGTGTTGATCCCTAATATGCAGTTATCAAACACTTGTGGAAAAGATTTATAACAAAGACAGGATGGTCACTCAGCTGGAAAGTAACTGAGCATGTACGTGCATCACTGCTCGACACTCTGGAGAGTGATGATGCTTTTTATAATCCATATAGCGCCCTCTGCTGGTGACAGAGAACTGCTAGTGTCATACGATGAAACTCAAATGAAATGCTATTTGACTGGTGAATTAATCGAGTAATATCGGCACATATCTGTGATGCCAGTAGCCGATACCGATAGTCACAGGATATGCTAATATCGGCCATATTATCGGCTGGCCGATTAATCGGTCGTGCTCTTCCAAATGTCGGTAAAAGGTCTAATGAACTTTTAATAATCGGTAATAGAACAATTAAAAAGTTTGATTTATTTTCAATCTTGTTTTATAGAAATGTCTGCTGCCAGCTGCATGCTATCTGAAGAGCAGTTTCTGTGCTCCATCTGTCTGGATGTGTTCACTGATCCAGTCTCCATACCATGTGGACACAACTTCTGCAAGAGCTGCATCACTCATCACTGGGATGTTAATGCCCGTGTCAGTGTCCATTGTGTTCAAAGGTTTTTAACAGGAGACCTGAGCTTCACGTCAACACGTTCATATCAGAGATGGCTGCTCAGTTCAGACAGTCTCTGTAAAGAAAAGCAGCAGAATGTCTCTGAAGAAAAACACCAACTCTGGAGAAGTTCTGTGTGACGTCTGCACTGAATCCAAAACGAAGGCTCTGAAGTCCTGCCTGATGTGTCTGACCTCCTACTGTGAGACTCACCTGGAGCCTCATCACAGAATCCCAGGCCTGAAGAGACACGAGCTGATCGATCCTGTGGAGAACCTGGAGGACAGAATCTGTAAGAGTCACGGCAGACCTCTGGAGATGTTCTGCAAGACGGATCAGAGGTGTGTTTGTCAGTTCTGCACTGAGTCAGAACACAAACAACATGTCTTTGTTCCCATGATGGAAGAGTACAAGGTAAAGAGGGACAAACTGGTGAAGTTAGACGCCGAAATTCAGCAGAAGATTCAGAAGAGACGACTGAAGATCGAGAAGATCAGGCAGTCGGTGAAGCTCAGCAGGGAAGATACTGACCGAGAGACAGCGGCCAGCATGGAGGTCTTCACCGCTCTGATCCGGTCTGTCGAGGAAGGCCTGGCTCAGCTTCTTGACTTCCTTGAAGAGGAGCACAACAAAACAGAGAAACAGGCTGAAGGCTTCATCAAAGAGCTGGAAGATGAAATCTCTGAGCTGATGAAGAGAAGCGCTGAAGTGGAGCAGCTCTTAAGCACTGAAGACCACCTCCAGTTCCTCCAAAACCTCCCATCCCTGAACCCTGCTCCACCCACCCACATCTGGACGGAGGTCAGAGTTCACTCATCGCATGAGGGGACTGTGAGGAGCGCTGTGGCTCAGCTGGCGGGCACACTTAGTGAGAAGATGAGGAAGATGTGTGCTGATGTGGAGCTGAAGAGAGTCCAGCAGTATGCAGTGGATGTCACTCTGGATCCTGACACTGCAAGTCCTTATCTCATTCTGTCTGACGATCAGAAACGAGTCAAATCTGTGGAGACACAGCAGATTCTCCCAGACTACCCGCAGAGATTCACCACTTGTAACGGCGTCTTGGGAAAGCAGAGTTTCTCCTCGGGAAGATCTTACTACGAAGTGCTGGTTAAGGAGAAGACTGACTGGGATGTAGGAGTGGCCGGTGAATCGATCATCAGGAAGGGAAAAGTCAGACTGTCACCTAAGAACGGCTTCTGGACTGTGTGGTTGAGGAACGGAAAAGATTACAAAGCTCTCGCTGGTCCTGGTGTCCTTCTCTTCCTGAAATCGAAGCCTCAGAAGGTGGGCGTGTTTGTGGATTATGAGGGGGGTGTGGTCTCTTTTTATGACGCGGATGCAGCAGCTCTCATCTACTCGTTCACCGGCTGTAACTTCAATGAGAAACTGTACCCGTACTTCAGCCCCTGTAGTGTTTGTGGTGGCGCCAATGCTGCCCCCCTGATCCTTCCTCCTCTGACCACTCAAAGCCTCATTTGATGCCTCAGTCCTCCTGAAATTCTCAAGATATTTTCACGAGTAATAAAGATGTGAAAACAGCTTATTACAACGCATTGCAAGCCACAACGGATGTCACAAAACCAGATTTTGATACGGTACTAAAAACCTTTCAAGGCTTTGTCTGCTCAGAGATTTTCAGAATACAATTTATATTGACTAAAATTACCGGATTGTTTATACAAGTGTGTGTAGGCAGATATTCTGAGATACAAGTAGCAGGAAGGGCTCCAAGGGAAAAAGGTGGGAAACCACTGAGTTATAGCACTTTAGAAAAGTTAGCCCAAACAATGTTTAATTAACACTCAACATGTGATAATGATCTTGAAGCTCCTGTGAGGAGTTTTTCATGGTGGTGAAACAGACTGAAATCAATGGTGATGCCTCTCCATGACCTACGAGCTCTAGTCGCCGGGTCATATCAGAAGAAATGATTCACAGCACACACGCTGCAGACACAGATTTATTTGCATTTTTTACTGCACCCGCTATGAAAACTGTAATACTTGCATTGGATTGCTGGTTTCAGTTTGTCTATGTTGTATCTGTCTTTATCTGATAAACCATAACACAAAATAAATGCACAATCTTAGAGCTAGCCATGCAGCCAACTAGCGGCTTAAAATGAAAGTTCCAAGCTGAAATACTTTTTACATATTGGCAAAGAATGTAATGAACGTTTGCATTTTGTTGTTGTATTATATTTACAGATTGACGGTTGCGCTAGCTTGATGCTAGCTCATCAAACAGGCTCGGGCTGGAAGTACGTCCCGTGACCCGTAGTTTAGTATGTTGTACGGTCAGGTTAAGCAGTTTATAAATTTTGAGTATGTAGTAGTAGGCAGTTTGTGGTTTCGGACACAGCCTAATACAAGTTCGGCATTAAAATGTGCTTTTATAAACACTTAACAGTTTTTTTCTGCTCTGGTTAAATATCAGATGAGCTTCAACTCCATGCTCAGAAATGTATTCTGGTCTTAAAGTTTTTTTTTTTTTATAACTGTCGCCTGTAATGTTGGCGTTTTGTCTTCATGTTTGACCTTTGTTAGGGATAGAATCTGACTTCCTCGTCTTGATGGTTTCATTTCCTTTTTTTCCTTTTCCAGTGTTTTATATGATGAATCAAACTAAGAAACTGGGACAAATAAGTTGTTGCCAGTTTCTTTTTTTATGTTACTTTTGAATTTCATTAAAAATGGGACCATGAAATAAGGCGTACTGGTCTCTTTTTTTTTTAACACATTGAATCACAAACGAAAAACCAAGATGAGTCCATTTCAAAACAAAAACAAAATAATCGTTCATTAATTCAATTCAATTCAAAAAACTTTATTTGTCCCCGGGGGGCAATTCAAAGGCACACAGAGCAGTAAATTAACAACAGTGCAAGTAAACAAAACATTTTAACCTAAATGTGTCAATTTAAATACAACTTAAAGCTTAAACTTAACTTAAAAATACAAAATATAGATATAAGAGTAGATATAAGTGGACAGTGATCGGACTAACAGATGTAAACAGATGTAAACAGAACTATATGCAGTAAACAAGAAATAAATATATATATACAGAACTATGTGTAAGTAGGCAAATACTAAATGATAAGTTATTAAGGTGCATGGTGAATAATGGAACAACAGAACTAATATATACAATATAACTGTAAAGGTAAAAATTAGATAAATAAAGTGGCCGTAGTGCAATGATGGATAAGAACAACAGGAATAAATTAACCAGAACTGTATGAATACTGATGGATAGAATAAAGTGATGATTAATCATCATTGAGGTAAAATATTCCATTAATTGTGATGTTGATATGAGGTCATATCGCCCAGCCCTACTCCTTATGGATATCATGCCCTAACCTTTGTAACTATTATCAAAAAAACATTTACCGTCAACAACATTTTCCTTTCTATGAAAATGCAACAAAAAAAGTATTTTCTCTGGCTCTGCAAAACTGCCTACATTTTATTCCCTGGCATCTGTTGTTTTGTCTTGTTAATACTGTTAAAAGGTTCAACCTATAAGCAGCTGAAATGTTATCCGCCAATAATGCAATAAAGAAGAGAGCAAAAAAGGAACAAACATACAAAACAGCGGTGAGAAATTTGGTGCGTGGCCCTTTAAGGTTCATGCAACGTCACACGTCGCACACGTCACACTGCGGAAGTACCAACATGGAGGACGGCGGAGAAGCTTCCACGAAATCACTTCTGAAAGATGGTGAAAACACATTAATTACCGTCGTTTCTCATCCCAAAGCGTGTTTGTGTTTGTTAACCGACATCCCTGAAACATTACATCATCAGCTCTTTGAAAGTTTGTGACTCACGCGGCTGCTAGCTGCACTTTTCCCGTTACAGCTGATGTTTTATTATGACGTGTGTGTCTTCATTGAAGGAATTTATCGACAACGTGTTGTTAGAGGCAAAGGAAATGCATTGCACTGACGCTATGTACAGCTGTTCATATAATAGTAATAAACTGTGTATTAGTGACAGAAACATTAACATGGAAATGCAGACGGAGAGACAGCAGAGTGAGCGTCAGAGAAACGAGATGTAGTACGGTGGCCTGTGAGGCTCAGCTGTACAAATGTTTCATGAAAAACATTGCACTTAGTGGGCGGCTGTGGTTCACTGGAAGTGTCAGTCGTCTCTCTAACCCAGAAGGTCAGGGGTTCGATCCCCAGCTCCTGTGGCCACATGCTGCTTCGTCAGCTGCATAGAGATGTGAATGGATGAGTCACCGCGTGAAGTGAGCCGTTCAGGAGATTTTTACTGTATGGTTTTAATTTGATAATTAAAGGTAAAGTCTGCTCGAATTGCATAGAGACACTTTGATATTTTAGTCATATTCAATATTTTATTTTGAAAAATCTATGACAGGTAACAAAGATCTTTCAAATGATTTTTGTTCCCCATGTCCCTGGCTGAGTTATAAAATACAATTCTCATGACCACAGTCAGGGACATGAGGAAAAAAAATCCATTGAAAGATCTTTGTCACCTGTCATAGATTTTTCAAAATAAAATATGGAATATGACTAAAATGTCAAAGTATCTCTATGCAATTTGAGCAGAATTTACCTTTAATTAACTCAAACACTATAGCATTTCCAGCATGGCGGCGGCTGCCGATGATCAAAAACAAGTAGTATAGTGCTTCCCTTTCCTGTTTCTGAATTTTTTTTTTGCGTCTGTTGAAATGTGAAATGTTGATATTTCTTTTTTTTGCAATCATGTAATATTTGTGCAGTTGACCTTCAGGGCCACCGATACACTGATACAGATCTTTTTTTAAGTTGCTACAACCCAGAGCCTGATATTTGATTAAAGCGTGAACGTGATGAATGGTTTGAGGATTTGCTGCTGATGTGTGTGTGTGTGTGTGTGTGTGTGTGTGTGTGCAGAGTGCTACACTGACTTCCTTGCCGAGGATTTCGACGTGAAGACGTACACAGCCCAGGCCATCCACCATGCTGTCATCGCTGAGCAGCTGGCCAAGCTGGCGCAGGGCATCAGTCAGCTGGACAAGGAGCTGCACAGCCAGGTACACTGCATTGATTTTTCAACAGTATAAGAGGACAGACATAAGGTACACCATGGATGTCATAGGGTGCAGGGGGTACAGGTAAAAAAGTTGGGCAATAATACTCTTCACTGGATGGACTAATCATGGCAAGAGATTCAGTCAAATATGTTTAGATTTGTTCAAGCAAGGAACGCTGTGGTAAGCACATATTTGTACTTCTTTCAGGTTGTGGCCAGACATGAAGACCTGCTGTCACAGGCGACTGGGATCGAGTCTCTTGAAGGTAAGAGTCCCTTCATGAGAAAAAGAACAAAGCCTACAAGAACAGCTTCGTACATATATTTACCTTGAGCTGCTGGTGGTTTCAGTCTATCTGATTGTGCAATGTTTTTTTATATACCACGTGTAGGAGCAGATTATCAGAATAGTGTGTGGTGTTTGTGTGAAGGATCTCACTGAGATCACAGTGATTGAAGGTTATCTATAGCAGGGATTCTCAAACTTTTTTTGCCTCTACACCACGTGATACTTTGTTGAAACATGTTGTCTTAATGTTAAAGGTGGAGTCAGTAGAAATATGTTTAGCAGTTTGTAAACACAACAATTCAAACTGGGCCCCTCCTCCTCTAGAAGCTCTCCCTCTCTGCAGGACGTAGTGTGTACGTTTACTGCTTGTACCTACACTGCAAGCTAACGCAACGCTAGCACAGGCTAACCGCCGGTGTTTGTCACCTGCCTGTCCAACAGGAAGCAGAACAACTCCACGTCCACGGGTAAAAGACAACACAAGGTTCACCCTCGTTTTAGAACGAGCTTTATCCACTTGGTGTTTCTCCTCACTCTGATTATATTTTCTCTTCTTTGCTGCTACGTCCAAGTCTGTCATATTCACCGGTTTGAATCATCCAATCCCTGAATTGTATCCACTCCTAAACTCACCTGCTGCGCTGTCATTGGCTGGAGGAAACACGCCATCTCCGCCCAGAAACGTCCGAGTCAACCAGAACAAAGCAGAACAGTAAAATCCAGTCAGAGGACAGAGTCTCTGCAGACACAGTCACCACCACACATGTACGGAGGCCCAGAAGGGACGATGGAGCAGCTTTACTTCGGAGAAGTCTGTATTTTATTTTGAAGGATAAGCTACAGACTCTGTCTCCAAACTTTGGACCCAGGCCTTCCAGATTTAATCCCCAGGTTCACACCTTTGCATTAATCTTTCAGCTTGTGGATGCACATGGGAAGCTTGTTCAAACCAACGATTATGACCGGCTGCAACCTGGTTTTTAAAACTCTGCCTCTACTGTTACAGTTCGGGCGTTTCACCACTAGAGGGAGCTGGTATCCTCAGATTAAAACAGAGAAATCAGAGAAGCAATGTGCTTAAAGGAAAACATTTTGTTGTCGTTGTTGTTTCAGGGGTTCTTCAGATGATGCAGACGAGGATCAGCGCTCTGCAGGCGGCTGTTGACAGGTACAGATGTGTTCCTGTAGAAGCACCGTGTGTGATATCTGAGAGACTGAAACCTTGCTTGTGTTTCTTCAGAATCAGGACAAAGATTGTTGACCCCTACAACAAGATCGTGGCACGGATCACGCAGCTGGCCAGACTGCAGGTGAGTCTCCACACTCGGGCTGTCACCTACCTGCTTTGATACCATGGTAACACAAACAGAAGTATAATGCACCCATTTAAAGCGTTTTACGGCCCTCAAAGACACTTTATGTTCTGTGTGGTGGAGACTGCAGAAAAGCATCTTCTGTGCTGACCTGCCCTCCTTCCAGGACTTAAACCAGCTCAGGGCCAGGAAACGGGGCAGGTAGCATCCATGCAGAACCCTCACACCCCGGACACAAACTGTTGTGTCCTACACTCCTCTCCTGTAGGCGTTACAGATCACTGTACGCCAAAACAACCCGACAGTTTCACACTGTCACTCTGATGAACGCTAAACAGTCACAGAGTGTCAGAACTGTTTGAACAGCCTGGTTCAAAAAACCAAACAGGTCTGATTAGCTCATGTCTCGATTGGCACACACTGTACGGGGTGGTGAACGTTTTCATGATTCATCTGTTGTGATTCGATGAAGGATACATGTTATGCATAGTTAGGCGTGTAGCTGACCTGATGACAGGCGGGTGCGATGTTGCGGTTTGTCAGGAGGCTTAAAACCCGCCTCAGCTCCAGCTTCTCAGCCTGTCGTTAGCTTGACTGAAAGTTAGGGTGAGACAAGCATGGTAGTTAAAAGCTTTGTGAGTGAGGTGCAGGATTTTGCATTGGATGGGGACAGGGAGGCAATGGAGATTTTGAAGGACAAGGGGGGGTGATGTGGTCACCCGAAGTTGCAGGCAAACTCCTGCACATCGTCTAAATTGTACACACCCCTCTGCAAGGATTCTGACCCCAAACGATGCCAAGATGTTTGTGCAATTGCTGCTCTCTCTCTATTTGGGTTCAAAAGCTTTGGTACTTCTTGATACTTTTAATCAATGAAAATCAAAGACTGTATAGTTTTAATTAACGTGGTATGAACGTTTTGACATCCGTACTCCTCACACACTTCACGATGAAGATATCAGCGGCAGAAAACCATCTATGCGAGGCTGCTTTACAAAAGAACATTGTTTCACATTCGATTCCGAAGCTTTCTAAAGAACCCACAGAGAAAATCGACAGTGTGTAGGAGAGCGCAGCAGTGTGTGTATGTAGGCTTGAGATTTATATTGTGGAGAGCTGCGGGCCGCTGTGTGTGCAGCTCAGTAAGAATGCTGAGCTGCAGTTTGTTGTGTTTGTGTAGCCGAGGGGAAACGTGATGAAATATTGATGAAACAGCGGCTGTAAAAAGGTCAGCCTGATTCTGAGGTCTCTCTTCAGGGCTAATGGCTCTTTGTCACTCAGAGTGTGTGTGTGTGTGTGTGTCAGACAGGAGGGATTTGTTTTCAGCCTGAGTCTTCAGTATGAACTGGATGAGACTCAAACAGCTGATCTGTCTCTGAACGGACCCCGAGGCCTCCTTCTCTCGTCTTGGTCCACCTCCGGCAGATAATGTGACCGCACATGTTTTAAAGATCTCTCTGAATCAGGACGAGCGCTTAACAAATAAATCTATTGTCCTCTCATCCATCCACTAATAACCCTTGAAAAGCCTCTACCGCACTGGCATCCTCCATTTCTCATGATCTTACCTCCCAAAGGGAACAGTCAGATCACACTTATCAGACTGGATCTAACTAAAGGAGTCGTTTGAGTAAAAACATGCCCTGTATTCTAAATCACCTACTTTATTAGTAGTCTGTCCAAAATGCAGTATGCGATCAAATGCGAGAGCCACGGTATGCCACAAATACCAGGATGTTGTTCTGATTCTGGAAAAATCTACGGTCTGCATCAGACCACCCTCGTGTGCTGTTTCCCACAATGCAAAGCGGCAGGTCAGAGGTCCAAATGCCGGACAGCGACGTACATCGTTACAGAGGAAAATAATCACAATCAGACCGAACCACACGAGACCACCAGTTACCTTTGTTGATTCTCCAAATCATGAAAATCGAAATTAATCTCTCGTCAGCTTTTTTCAGACTCTTACGTGGACGCTTCACTGTAGCGGCGTTTGACGTCAGCTGGGCTGTTGTTTACTTCCTCATTCAAAGACCGGAAACCAGCTTAGCCTGGTTGCAAAATAACCACCATCTGGCAGCCACACTGCATATGACTGTTGAACTTATTATGAAGTACAGACTTCGTTCGATAGCAGTATGAAGTAGGCTGCTTGGAAAACAGCAAGAATGCTGGGGCGGGGTCGGACTAGCAGTCAGGTTCCCCCACATGTTCGGAGGATGTAGTCCTCCAGGCGGACAGACAGCCCGGGATTGAGTCCGACTTGTGGCTCCTTTCCTGCATGTCATTCATTCACTTTTGTTTACTTTGAGAAGGCAGAACAAACACCTAGCTGTGGGAGTGTCACCCACCTGGTGGGAGGGGTTACGGCCCTTCGTGATGTCATGAAGGGAAAATCTCCAAACGGCCTGTTTGAGCACACATTTTCTGAAAAGTGGAGCAGGAAAAAGACGAAGAGGATGGACTTCTCTCTTCTTTGGGGTGTTTGTAGACAGACTAGAGACACATATTAGTGTTAGAGAAACATAACATGGGGAAGTGGATTTTACAGAATGTGACCTTTAAAGTCAGTATTTGGAAGAAGAGACATACGTGCTCGATATAAACAACATATTGCACAAACAAGCTTTCCCATTTTTATGTGAATTTAACTCGTAAACAATCGTCATATTTATTGCCGTGTGTGGCATCTGTTGCAATGACTGTCAGCTGTCTCACCTGAACACATGACATCATTGCCTCAGAGTTAATGATTGTTTTATGTTTCATGTTCCTCTGCGTCTCCCCAGGTGGCCTGTGACCTGCTGCGGAGGATCATCCGCATCTTGTACCTCAGCAAGAGGCTGCAGGGACAGCTGCAGGGGGGCAGCCGGGAGATCACCAAGGCGGCTCAGAGCCTCAACGAACTCGGTGAGAACATGCATGCTCACTCATGTGAAACCTACAGTCTGTTTCTATCATACTATGACTGCTGCTGTAGTGCAAAAGCAGGCTACACTTTGTTGCAATGCTTCAAAGAGGATCGTAAGCTGTATGGATGTTTGCACAGACCAGTTTGGGATTTCTGACACAGGGACTGGTTCTGATTCGGGATGATATTGTCTCTAAATCAGATGCCTGTGCTGCTCATGGTTTTCCATCTCTGCCTTATATATGTTTAAAAAAAATGCCACTGATGGAATCCAAAGACCAAGAATCGGTTTGCAGATTCTCACAGTGGTTGTCATGGGAAACCTGGCAACCGTCAGACATTCCCATATTCCCTCAAGCTGACATTGGAAACCACAGCGGTCTTGTCACCAGGCGATAATTAGTAGTAGTAGTAGTAGTAGTAGTCTCCGCCGTACACAAGGATGAAGGTCTAACTGCGATAAATGTACCTGGAGAATTGGCAGGCTCCCCTCAAGGCTGCAGCAGTGATGTGTTTGTGCTCTGCAGCGGTGATGTGTTTTTGCTCTGCAGGATCACAGGAAGAAGATATGTTACCGCAGCTGCAGCGAGGACGATTGAAAGGGGCTGTTGACCTTTAAATCAGAGCGGTGTCAGCCGCAGGGTTCACGGCATCCGGCTCGACAGATTAAACACTAACCAGAACCTCAACTAGACTGAAACATAAACACGCAGAAACATCATTAGAGCACTTTTTTTTTCCCAATTTAGGAATATTTTGAAAAAGCAGAACAGGTCTGCGAGACTCCAACGTGCTTTCATCTCGATTTATTTCTGATTCCTGTTTATTTATCTGTGACACATTGGCCTAATTTTTAACTGAATGGTTTACAAAAGAAGCTCTGCAGCTTCACCACCGGGTGCTTTCTGTATCTTCTATGTTGTCTGTGAGTTTCAGAAACAGTCTGAAATGCTTCTGAACATAAATAACACCGTTGATAATAATATCTTAAATTGTCCTCTAGACGTCGACAAATATTTAGCTTACAAGTTTAACAACTTCTGCTGGACCCTTGAAACAGAGCCAGTCATTTTTATTTATTTGAGAAAGCAATCCCCCCTCCCCACCTCTGATTAAAACAACCTCCAAGTTGACCGTAGTCAAGACCACCGGGGGAAACCGACCTGAGGAAGCGAATATGTTTACTGATGAGCTAATGTATCCGAGACAAGATCAAGACCAAGGCAAGGCAAGGCCAAGGCCGAGACAATTAGGGACCGAGACAGGACCAATGCCATAAATACCACTCACTTAGACCGTAACACCGGGAAGGTTGTGGCAAAAACCAGAGGATAAAAATCAAGTCATGAATGAATTTAAGTTGTTCTTTCTTTTAGAAAGTCTGAGGCCGAGACAAGACAGAGTAAACATGCTTTAGATTCCAAGATGAGACCTTGGTCTCGAGACCGGTCTAGAATACTACAACACTAGGCTGAGGAGGGTCAAAACAGGAATGTGTTTCCGGGAGCGATGCCTCTGTGATGACGTCAGACTCTTAGAATAACAATCTGAGGCGGTCGGGGACAAAAACATGAGCTCTTAGTCGACCTTCTTTTATTACTTTTCAGCCATTTCAGCGTCTACTAGCTGAACCAATCTACCGGAGCAGGTTGACGATGCGTTCATCGACACTCGATTCATCCCCATGTTCTCTTTTCTCTCGGCACTCCGTCACAGATTTTCTCTCCCATGCTCAGAGTTATTGCCTAACTATGGCCGGAGAGGTTCAGGAGACGGGAGTGACCTTCTGGTGTCAGCGGACGGAGAGTGCTATTGATGCATCGCGTGACGCTGCCACCCGTTATCTATCTCTCATTCGACCCTCGGTTATCAAAAGGCTTTGAGCGTGACAGAGCGGGTTCACAAGGGCAAGTGTTTTTAGAAACCTGTGCCTGCTGGCGTGCGACCACTTCTTCTAAAACACACACAAACACACACAGGCGCGCACAAATTCCATTTGCCGTAAAGAGCTTTTAAATGGGCTCCGTGTCCTCGCTGTGCACAACAACACGCTCTTAAAGGTGATACAGTGTCGGCGTCTGGTCTCTGTGTCCCAGTCAGTTGTTGTCCAACAATGCCAGCAATTTATCAAGTGGGCTCTCTGGCCTTTTAATTTTAACTCAAGGGCCGAGGGTGGGGTCAAACAAGGGTAATCTGAAGCACTGGTTCTCAACTGGTCTAGCCTCAGAACCCACCACCAGCTCCTTCATGGGAAATCATGATCCAAATTTCAGAGATTTTTTAACCAATGAGATTCATTTACTGAACAATAGTGCAGTTAGGAACTCAAACAGTAACGGAACAAATGTTTTTAAAAACGCTTCATAGACTTTTTATTTCCGGGCACACTTTTGCGACCCACTGAAAACAGCTCTGCGACCCACGAGTTGAGAACCACTAATCTTAAGAGTCCAGTCCCATTCTCCATTAGTGTTTGTGCATGTGTGTGTGTGTTTCAGACAGTAATTTTACGACACCACAAGTCATTTCCCCTTGTTGGATTAATAAAGGATCTCTTGTTCTTCTTAAAGCCGTCTGAATAAGCTTTATGCAACCAGAGTTCTCCCCACTTTGACAAACGCTCCGGAGAGACGGCGTTATACTGCGTTTCAAATGTCTTTGAGGGTTTGTCCGACACTTTCAGCATCAGTAGAGCCAGTGCGGTTCTCTCACTGAGTGCCTCTGTGAAATATGTATTTTATAGGCTTTTTAAGGCATTTCATGTTGTACTTCACACCGTTGTTGACAATGAAGTTTGAATTCAAAGTAACGTTAAAAGTAGAAACTTGCTTTCACCCAAACCAGCAGATGTTGTGGTGAGACGCCACTGCAGTAATGGCAGCTTGTTAACTTCTAGTCCCCCCCCCGGCTTGGTCTGTACTTTTCTAATATTTATCGGCATGACAAGATGTGTAATAGCTCGTGTCAGGGAGAAAAACTGGTATTAAATCCATCTGCAGGAATAGCAGGGTCAATAATCTCCGACGTTATTGATGTTTGGAGTTTTGAAATATGCAGAACTTTCCTCCCTACACATGCGAGGTCTAGTTGCCCATTGGCTAAAATGAAAGACATTCTAGGTGACAGGAAACATCTCTAGTGACGGCACTCTCTTACAATAACTGATTTTACCTCTTTGTCTCTCAAAGGACCAGGTTTGTCTTCCTCACACACAGCACTTCTTGGGCGGGCATTAAGATTTCGGGGCAGCTCGTGTTCCTGTTATAGTCGACTTTATGAATTGTTACTGACAGAAGCAGATGCTTTGGCTCCTTTTTGAAGTCTTTCAGCGTATCCTAACAGCGTGCGACAGTGGATGTTTCATCCTGCACAGTCGCACGCTCGCTCTCCAAACTGCATCTGTCAAATATTTATCTCCTCCGTGACTTTCAGCTTCCCCTTTGCAAACAGTTTGACATCTGGTGCTTTTATTTTGAAGGTGGACAAGCTGAAAAGAAAGACGTCCCCTCTGTGAATTCCTGGATTAGGGTCCGACATCTCACATTAAAACAGCAGCTTCTTACGCCTTCGTTTTAGTATTTTTGTGCAGCTGCTGCTGACGTTTTTCTACACACTTGGCGCCCGATTTTCAAAACACATGCAGGCGGTTAAATTCATCCCACATGCACAGCAACACGTCTGTGTGCACCGGTTCTGGTTGTCATTTGGAGGGGAAACACGTCTTTTTTTCTGTGCAAATCAGCCTTATTGCAAAACAAGTGTCTGATTCACAAACATCAGCGCTAACAGCTACACTCAGATAGAGCGGAGCAAAAAAACGTCTGCTGAGACTTTATGGGAAATGTGCCGCCAAGACATGTCACATGCAAACTTTCCAGTGATTAGAAAACACTCTGTATGACCTTAAAAATAAAGTTCCCGTATATTAAGTTTGCTATTATGTCTTTGACATTACTGTCATTAATATAACCGAGGGTTAAATCAGTCTGGGGCTGTAAGCAGCTCCACACTTTGTCACAAGGAAGACGTTACATCGTTACACACTGGGGTGCACGTTTTTTTTGTTTTCCTTCAAGTCTGGCATCAAAATAAACCCTGAAAAGACGCACATTAAGGACCAAAACGAGATGCAAACTGCACGGAGAAAGGGAACTATTTGGCGTTTTTGAACCTGGATATCATTAGCTCTTTACGCTTTGTGATGAGGGCTTGAGGCCGAGCAGATAGAAGGAGCAAATTATAGTTTAGGTTGATCGTTGTCACCTAACCCTCCGCCAACTTGGCCACCCAGATGCAGCGTCATTCTGTGGGAAACAACTGAAGTATTGTTTTTCTACGCCGCAAGGCCTTCATCATCATCCACATTGTCCTCCTTGTTATCACGAAGCTGACCTTAGAGTTGTCACCAAAATGTCAGCAGTTGATCGGAGAGTAGCTGTGGGCTAACTCGGCCTCCATGATAGGTCAAATGTGCATGAAATGTCTTCCTTTTTTCATCGGTTTAAAGGCAGTCTTTTGCAATGTGATCTTTGTTCAAAGATGTGATGAAGATAAAAATACATTCACAATCGGTAAATTGTGTTGGGAGGTTAAATAACTCATGTTGTGTGAACAGTACTTTTTACCTTTTTTAATATTAGAGGCAGGGTTGGTAATTTTCAAAAACTAGCATGATTTACAAAGGAGCATTCCCTCAGTGCTCCGTCCATGTATCCAGATCCAAACAGAGAAGCAGGAGAGCAGCGTGATCCTGACACATAATGTGTCTTTATTACAAAGGGTGACAAACAATATCAAGGCATCCTTTACAGACACATTTGTTTCATCTTACGCTAACATCAGAGAACAACATCGCTGCCGCTTACATAATTATCTATGACTGAGCTGTCCTTGGTAGCACTCTACGATATCCCACTTTAATTAGTAATAAATAAACATGTGTTGGAGACATTTCTTGCACTAAGGACAAACTCAAACGTAAATGCAAAACATATTCAGC